TTCCTGTCACGATTTTTATAGTAGTATGAAAAGGAGGTTTCTAAAAAATGGTTTTCAAGTTACCCACATGAACCACAGGTAGAGAACGGTAATAGTGGATTTTTTTTTACCTTTTGTTTTATTTTTAATTTAGGAAAATTATATATAAATTATAACATAAAAAATATTTTTTTAAAAAAAAAAATAAAAATCACAGACATTTGAAAATGCAAAAATTATGTTACTGGTATATTTTTATGAAATCTCCTAAGTACACAGTCACACTGGCTTTTTATGGAATGCTATTTCAGTGATGATAAATGTTCAGTGGATGTATCAGGGCTGTGTAGCAGAGAAGCCTGTGGTATGAAGCAACCCTGAAGATGAAATTTCAAGCTGGGAATTGCATTTGGAGGATTGGTGCAATTATTTTCCTGGAGAATTAGATTCAGTACCAGACTCTGCTGTGGAATTTGCTGAGTAGGTGATCTTGAATACTAGGCTTACTTTCAAGAGGTCACAACTCATCCCTTACTGGGAATATTCCTTTCTGGAGTCATGTCTCTTGCATCTCGTCCTTTTAGTAGAGGTTAAAACCTCACAGTTGCTCAGTCCTGACACCTGCAGCTGAGGTGAATGTAAGATGTGGCTTGACCAATAAACTACATATCTAGAGTCAATAAATTACATAACTACAGTCACCTCAACCTGGGCATCCTAAATAAATGAAAATTTCTTAGTTTAATCTCTGTATCGCCCTTCCTCAATGGAAAATGGGCTATAATACTATTTCTCTGGGATTTTGAGAAAATGAAATCATTAATATTTGTGTATTGTGAAATACTGTAATTGGTGCAAGAGAAAAGCCTATGAAGAAATTAATAACTCTCCTTTCAAAGCTTTGAAGGATTGACTATATTGAATAAAGCATGAAGCTGCAGAAAGATTGAGGGGAAAACAAAGCACTGAGCAGCTGTTGGCAAAGTGAGCTCCATTATCCTGTGTATACAATGAGGCAGCACACATTCAGAAAGTAATATCATGCCATTGAAGACTGTAGTGTGATGTGTTCACTAGAAGCCATTATTTTTCCATAGGGTACTTAGTTTGACATTTCCTAACTTTTGATGCTTGCTTCTGTAAAATTAATACTTTGCTAATGAAAGCTCTTCTGACTAATCATGCAAAATTATTGTCGCTTGGAAGCATCATAGCTGATGTGCCTCAGGCTTTTCATGATACAGTGCAGAAGGAAAGCTATTATGAAGAGGGGGAATGCTAACTACCCCCTTCTAACTATGCCTGGATCCCTTATTCTTTTCCTGCCATGCATCTGCAATTACCCATGCTCAGCTATGTGGTAGCAGAATAAATGGTTTTCATTGTAGTGGTAAATTTTCAAGTATCTGTGGGTTTTATCTTCTTCTCTCCCTTTACTGATGATAATTTATGCTGAGTGAAGGAGTTGGAATCACTTAGGACATTGCTGCAGTCTTCTGTCTTTATCAATGAGAAAATTCCCTTTGCTTTTGGATTTGCAGGCCAACTATTTAAGCACTCTGGAGAAATGTAAAGAAACTAAGACTTTTTTTTGTACTTTAAACCCTTTAGAAATTTTCTGGGCTTTACCTTTGCATGAAAATTTAGATACTAATATTTTGTTCATCAGTGTAAGTTTACCCATTTTTATTCAAACTTTTTCAAAGTGTTCACAGATGCTTCAATGAATATAAATACATTGCCACTATAAAATGTAAGCACAAACCCCTAATTCTATAAAAAATTCACAGAGATGCAGTTATTACTGTAATTCTGTCCAGTAGCTCCCTTCAGTGTGAATAAAAGTTGTATTTGTTTTGTTTCAATATAATTCTCTGTAACAGAATAATTTTTAAATGACTCAGGTAATAAATTTTAATAGAAATCTCATAAATAGGAAGTTAAGCAGTTTTGTTTCAAAAGATTGTGTATTTAGTTTAACCTTTGAATTTTTACTGAAGTTTGCTAATTCATTGGATTTTTGATGCAAAATGTTTTTCCCTTTGTAATTAAAAAGAAAAAAAAAATGAGAAAAATGAAAAGGAGTATAGTATGTTTTGTTTTGTTACTTTTTTGGTTTGCTTTAGTAATAGATACATTTTTGTGTACCTGTTGTGGGAATGGTGTCTGTACAAGACTTGGAACATCTCAGAGGTTCTTGGGTCAGTTAAGTGTCTAAATTGTTTGGATTGGCTTTTCTGTCGGCATCAGTGTAGTAATTTAAAGTCAGGAATCAAGGGCTGTCAGAGTCTCTGTGCACAGGAAAGGAAATAGCTTCCATCTATCTCTGCACCAGCTGGTACTAAGAAGTCTGAAGGAGTGTGGTTGATGCTGTGGTTGTGCAGTATTTAAGCATTCTGAGAGCTGCAATGCTTTATAAATATCTTTCAAAATCTACCAGTAAATAATTATTTTTTTTTAGCCATTCTTGCTATTTCAAATAGCCTGAGATTGAAGGGAGAGTTATCAAACTGCAGATAAAAATAGATATTGCTAGATAAACTGTCAATATTGGCACACCTTAGTCAAGAAGATGCCTGAAGCAAAAGTTTTCCTTTCTTTATGTTTTTGTCTTTTTACATGTGCATGTTTTAGAGAAGAGTAACTTTCATGCAGACTGTGAAATTCAAAAGCTCTAGTTATTCAGAGCTCTTGTAAATGCAGCTATGCTGCAGCAATCACTGCTAAAGGGTTCTTGTGGAAATTACCATCTGATTCCCAAGCTCTTCAGTGAGCTTAAATACACTGTGTTCTTTTTGAAGACCTAGGGACAGAGTTATGATTGTTACTTTGCTGCAGAGCAATATAGAGTTTACAATATGTCATTAAATTCAGTTGGGAAACCTGCAGTATTCTCAGAGATGGAGTTTATCCTTGAGATAGATTGCCTGTGGACTGCAGTGTTAACCCATATACATAAAATACCGTGATTTAAATCTGAAAACTGATAAAAACCCTATTGCAGGTTAAATGCTGGTTTAGGAGATTATCAGTCTATCAGTAGGGAAGACAAATCTAGCTCTTTTCTTGAGCCTGCACTGGTGCAGAAAATGTATTATTTGGTTGAGACAACCTGTGTGTAGTGGGGAAGACCCATATGAAGATTTGAATGGATAGCAGGGTTCCTGAACCAAACATATTTCTGCTTTCCAAATGTTACTACATATCCAAAAGAAATGCTGTGCATGTGGTTCTCACCAATGTTGGCAACCTTCCTCTTCTGCCAGATGCACTGATATGCCAGGTAGTAAATATCTATGTAGCACATTTGGAGGCTGCTCAGCCCCAGTGTGAGTGTCATGCCCACATCCTGGACATTTGGTTATGGAACTTGTTTCATTTTGATAGCTTTATTGTGCTGAAAGTACAAAACCAAGCAGATAAACTCCAGTAAGTTACGGACAGAGAGCAGATTGCTTTAAAACAGCATTGAGATTGTTAAAACTTAGGCAATGCCAGGGTAAATACTGACATCTCTAATATTTTGGGATTTTTTCAATACATTTATCATAATTGAATTCTTGGATATCCCTTAACAGGGTATTTTCTCTACATGGTCAAAGCTTCCTTTTCCTGTTTTCTATGACTGGTTCCGGGGAGTGAACACCATAGTTTATGGAATTGTAAATGTAGGACCCCTGCTGTCTATTCTAAATTTAAGGATGCTGAAAGGAATCTCGGGAAGTGAGGATAAGAAGGGAATTGCAGAATCTATTCAGCTTTGGAAGTCATATGTTGTATCATTTGAACTGTATTTCTAAGGTTATAATTCCCTGGTGATTCACCTTGAGACACTGGGTTAGAGTCGGAACTGGAATCCAGTGAATGGATAAAAATTGCAAGTACTCTGAAGAGAGATGTCAACAACATGTCATGAGAATATACCCTCTTCTGACTTCCATTGACACTTTTGTCTTCTGGCTTGTTAATTAGTTCACCCAGAAGCTGTTAATGTTGGTCCCTACATATGGAAACAGAGGCCAATACTGCTCTACAAACACAGTTACTTTCCAGTAATATAAAACAAAATTAAATTCTGATAAACACGTGTAAATATTACTGCACTTGAAAAATTAATACCTGGTAAGATAAGTAGTATGCATCAGAACAGCTGCTTATTCACAGAATGCTTGGTTCCATGATCTTGTGTAAGGTTGTTTGGCATTGACAGTCTATGGAAGTGCCTCATGGTGTGGGAGAGACAAAGGATTTTCTATGGATGATTTAAGAAAGGTGCAAAGATGCTTTGAGATAAGAATTTTTGAGACAATGTCACTGAACTAACAGAAACTCACACACAGAATTCTGAAAAAGGACAGCACCTGTTGCACTTAGAGCAAAGATCTGCCATGTTGGCAGAAGGTGGGGAGTAACACAGCCAAACAGCATCCATTGAGTGTATGGGTCGGAAGTGAGCCATTCCAGGAAATAGTGTTTCAGTTCTGCTTAGATCTTGAGAACTTTGTTCAAGAATATATTTTGTGAACTGTCTTAAGTGACTTACAAAGTCAATAGTTTGTTTATGTAATTTCTTTCACCTAATGGGAATTTTAGGAAGCCAGTGGCCTGCAAGAAATATTCAAGTGCTGAGTTACACTTGAAATACAGATTAGGGTGATATCCTAATGTTCAAACTTAATGGAAATTCCCATTTTATGTAGAAGGAAGAACACAAGTGTAAGAGCCCCACAGCATTTAAGAATTAGTTCTTCAGAGTGTTTACTAAGCCTAAGATGGCAAGCAGCTGACTCTGTTCTGTACTGTTCCTATATGGTTTTCTGAGGCAAATATGCTTTACTGTTCTAGCTTTATTTCTAATGTCCCTTGAGGAGTACCCAGGTGGAATTTTGTGCTTACTTATGCAGTCAATGGGAACAATTAATGTTTGATGGAAACAAGAGAATGTTTGGTACTATTATTGTATACTGTAAAGAGATTTTCAATTAACCTCAAATAAAAGCCTCCTTCTTTCCTGGTTCTAGCATCTCTCTTATGGCAATGGTAGCTTACATGTTGATGCAGCCTTCCAGCAGACCCTCTGGAGCGTAGCACCAATCAGTTCAGGAAGTGAAGTTGCCCAAGGTAAGATGGACTCAATTTTAATTATTGAAAGACTGATAGTAAATGAAATACTTAAAAAAACCAAATTATTATGCCAAATGTGGGAGTGGTTTTCTCCCACGTAAACATTGAAAATAATAAATAAATATGCAACTGTTCTGAAAACAGAGGGAAAGTTATACTGAAAAAAACACTGGTAGTTTTCCTCTTATTTTTGCTGAATACTGAACAGCTCATTCAAATCTCATTTTGCTAAAGATATGATAACATTTGTAATATGTTTTTTGAAATGGCTTTTGGTCCTGGTTTGAAGTATAATCTCAAATTATACTGATGTATGCAGCCATGGTTACATGTTTCTGAGGCTGAGTAAATAATGGGGGCAGGAGGCTTGGAAGCGGGATGTGAAATCCTCAGACTGAAGATGGGAAATGGTTTTATGGGTAACATATGGCTGGAAAGAAAAACAAGAGGAGAATAAAGACAGAAAGAGAACAGCTTTCAAGAACTATTTTTTTTTTTTTTAGGAATTAGGAAGGAGTTTTAATATAATTTCTAACATTGAAAGGACAAGGATCCCTGAATTTATGCCACACTGGATCCACAGAGAAGAGCAGTGTTTTTCTGAAAAGTCTGTCACAATGTAAAGCCTAATGATTTCTTCTTTACTGCAGACCAACTGTTTTGAGTGGGTGTTGTAATAGAATCTAAAGAAGGTTAAAGCTGCAGGTCGTTTCATTTTGTGGTTTTTGGATACTATTTTTTAAAGAGGCAATACACTGAAATTTCACATCAATTCTTTTTATCTGGCATATTTTAAAACTCACTCATGGAATGTTCTTGCAACTTTGCTAATTCATATTTTAGGGAGAGCATTGCCAACATCTATTTTTTTATAAAGTCGTTGTGTTTTTATATATGAGAATCACTCTGCATGTACAGATTCTCTGTCACAGCTTATACTACAAACCATTAAAAAATGCTAGTGCATTGTTTGGCAGTGTGCTAAACTTATGGAGAAAACTTTCTGTTAATGAGAAGACCTTTTCCTTCTGTTCCTTCCCAATAATTCCATTCTCCATGTCCTCCCACTGCTGGCAGCACTAGTGTGTCATTCTTGCTAAAAATCCTAGCATGGTTTATGTGCTGAGACCCAGCTTCGTGCTATGCCACATCTCTGCCTGGTGAACCTCACTAGTGAATCTCTTGAGAAGCAGAAATCCCCAATGACATGGTGTCATATTGTGTACTCATACTCCCAGGAAATAATGTGAAAATGATGTAATATGCTTTCCGTAGCTGTGCATTTATCTGTGTATGTGCATGCTCTTTGTTGCTATACTTTTCCTTTTTCACTTTCCTCAGGTACAAACATTATCTTTTTTAAGCTAAACATGTTTTCTAGAGAAGCTCAGCTTGCTAGTGTCAGAAAGGATTAGAGCAAAGGCCTTATTCTTAAAAAAACAGCAACTGCTTCTGTAATCAAGGTAGTCCTGTGGTGAAGGGAGAGTGAATCTCTCACTGTGTAAGGCCTTATCTCTATGTCCTCAGTAAAACAGTTGCAAAGCCAGAGGAAATTACCTCAAAAAGGAAGAAGGAAATAAACCTATTTTTGTTAGTATCTGTAAAATGCTTTGTGACATTAATAAGTAAAATATTAATGTATGGGAATAGCTGTTCTACAATACCCTCTCTTAATCAAAAATTCCCATTAAAATAGATTAATAAACTAAACTCTTCAGTTAAATGAAATTTTTTTGAAGTGAAAATAATGGATAATTAGTCTGTAAGATGAACTAGGATATTGGAGGTACTTCAAAGAAAATGATTTCTTTTTACATGCATTTCTGTAAAATTGGCTTATGCAGAAGTTAATTTATTGTTTAAGTCAAAAGAGAGCTTTGGAGTTAAATCAAGTAATTCTGCTAATTCTACAATGAAGTAGATGGGGGTCACTTTAAAAACAAAACCTAAATTATAGAATTACATTGACACAGGTCCATGTAAAAAGTAAAGTATGTAACAACAGTTACCTGGGCATATACTGCTGTGTCAAAATCAAGATTTAAAAAAAATCAGTGCTAAAATTTGCCACATAAACTCCAATTTTATACTGATCTCAAAGGTTTATAAAATATATCCTGAATATTACCTGATATATTCAGGAAAAAGATTTCATGTTGTTTCAAAATAAATTCATGAAAGGTGTGCAGTGTGACTGAAGGGTCTTCAGCACCATTTCTGTGTACAGATCTGTCTTACTTCACAGCATTATGTATTAGTATAGACATTGCTTCAAAATATCACTCCAGGTATAAGTTTTTTAAATCTTGCTGCTATAATGCTAAAGCCAAGCATTTATGTTATGGCATCCCACTCAAATGTAGAATTTGATATTAACTGTTTTTAGCAAGAAGGGAAGGTGAGTTTAGGAAACAGTGAAGTGTTTACATTTACCTTGCCAGACTGAAAAAATACCATTAAATTGTGCTTAAAACTTACTAAGTTTAGTCTTCTTCAGCTGCTGATTATAATACAATATTTATAGGATAACATAAAATGATATTTTTTAATGTCACATCTCTAATGGAAAAAGACTTAGGAGAAAAGATCTGCTTTGTTAACACCTTTACTGATTCAAATTATGACCTTATTTTCAGCTTCTGGCTGCTAAGTCCTGGGACTTCAAATATTGTGATGCTGTGTGTATGGTTTGTGCTTTAGTTTGTGAACACACACACAACTGTACACTGTGAAGCCAAGTGTTTGGCTGTGAACCTGCACATGCAGTGGAGGTATTTGCAATGTTTCTCTATGGAGTCCAAATAAATCGTGATTATTGGTTTTGAATTTTCTGTCAAGTAGAGCTTAGAATGAATCTTTCAAGAAGTTTCACAAAGAACTTTCAGATACTCAAAAAAGTGCTTTAAAACTAATTAACTAACTAACTAAGTCTTTGTACGTTAACTGGAATTCTTTTTCTTAAATAAAAAGCAAAGTGAGTTGGTAAGGTGGAAGTTTCTGGCTTTTTCTGTTGTTATCTGGGAGAGGAATAATTGGTTCCTTGTTTTGGTTGGCTCAATCTTTTTTTGAGTTTTGGTAACTAGGTAGGATCCCCTGCTTCTGGCTTCTCTTTAGCTTTACCTTTGGCAGCTAGGTCCATCCTTCCCTAGCTGCTGACTTGGAGCTTTTTTCATTTGGCAATGTTCAACTGGCTCCCCAGGGTATGAGATATCTTCCCCTTCTTCTGACTCTATTTTTAAAGTCATATAAAAATGTCAAACATAAAAAGCTGAAATCAAACTGATAGTGTTTATTACAGTTTGAACTATAGTTTTACATATTGTTGTGTTTAGAGAAATGTACTCATTTTTCTGTTTATTCAAGGATACCTGATAGGAGGGGATGTTCTGAGGTTATTGCATGGTCACATGGATGAATGTTTGACAGTCCCTTCGGGTGAACATGGAGAAGAACAAAGAAGGTAGGTTTCCAGCTTATAACAGAATAATAGTAATGCATATTGTTGAATTGTCTGTCATAGTACAGATGTTTGAAAGATGTTGTGATGAGATGTATTACTCATAAGAATGGATATTGTTGAGATAAACTTTGGATATGAACCTTTTGTATTTTCTTTTCCATATTGTTCAAGTCTGATTTCACTTACCAGACACAAAAGGAATAGTGATTTCTTTTTGATAATTTATTATCATTTTCATGGTTTAAAAGCACTGTGAATTAAATGTGTTGGGTTTTTCATCACTGTTTTTTTTCTATAATTACAAGAATTCTTCAGGACAGAGTATGTAAGAATATTGCCCAATCCTTCAAGGCTACTAATCTGGGATTAATTTCAGGCCTACCTGTCACAGCAGTTTAGAATTTAATTTATGGTTATTTTCTTGACTCAAGGAATCCTGGAATGGAAGTAGTGATGGCAACTTGGTATGTGTCTCTCTTTGTTAACTAAAAAATCAAAATAGTGAGAAGACTGACAGTGAGTGGCATGTCTCAGTGGAGTGATTGCATCAGTCCTCTTTATTTGCTGTAATAACATCTGCCCTAAGCTTCTTTTCAATAGGGCAGTGTAGTATAATTTATTTCTACCTTCAGGCTAAATGTTGCTAAATGTTACTAAATGGTATTTTAGAATAGTTTATTTAATGCAGCATACTGAGTAGCTTCACTTCCATGACAAAGGAAGTGCTATTCATTAACTCATTCATCAAAATGAGTTTTCTTCATTTGCAAATAGAAATGTGTTTTTTTATTTTATTTATTCTCATTTTTAAAGATAAGAACATGACTAGAAGCTCTCATAGCAAAATTCTTCAATGAATATGTAAATGTTAATGAGAAAAACCTCAGAGTTTTCTTATAGAGCTGGTGACAAACACTTCATGGATATTTCTCATTTCAGACAAGGAAATAGTTTTTGAATGCAGAAGATAGTTCATAATGCTGATATTTAAAATGTGATCATTTCAGGTTTTAATTTTAGTTACCATGTGATAGTCATTACAGCTTGATCACTACTATTATTATCCTCAGCCTGAAAGTGAGGAAAAATTAAGGTGATAAATAAGTGGGATCCTACAGTGTTTTATTCTTACTTCAGTCTAAATCCTGCAAAATTCCTTTTAAAAATGTAGCTGCAATGCAATTTTAGATTTATGGGGTGAGCAAACACTTCAGTAATGAACTTCAGTGCTTAAGAACACAATAAAAATCTATCTCTTTTCAACAAGTCTGACATTATATGTAAAATACAATAATTGAGTGTGAAGCTGCAGATAAAGAAAAAATTGATTTGCTCCACTTGTGCATTCGCATGATGCATCTTTCTATCCCATAACATGGGAAGAGTATGGTTAATTTCTTAATCTGCAGAGCAGTGCCTATTTGCAGAAATAGGCAAATTTTCTTCTCTTTCTGCAATGTGTGCAGAATTTCTTTATGCCTTTCCCCTATCTGTCTAAAACCCCAAAAGGAGCAGAGCTAGTAGCAGCAAATAGTACATATGTCTTTACCTTTATTTTCCTTGTAGCCATGCTGACAAATATTGTGAGGTGCCTCTGCTAGGGAGACAGAGATTTGGATTCCCATAAGCATTGTTAAATTAAAGTGAGAGATGTGGTTTTAAAGCCCAGGAAGAGTGGATTCCACCCTCTGCCTCAGGGGATGTGTCCTGTGAGCCTGGGAAGAGTTGTCCCACCCAGGGCCCTCTTGGGGTGGCAGTCCAGGGTGTTCTGATTGGGTTTGTGCCCCTGAGGTTTCTCCCTTGCTCTGTCCCAATTAGTGCCCAACCTTAAACTCCACCCTGGCTCTGCTTCATAAAACCCCCACCCTGCCTCTGTTCTGGGCTCTGTCTCTGATTTAAGCTGAGTTTGTTCCTGTGTTGAAGAAGTGTGAAGTGTGTTGAATAAGTGAATAAGTGGTTTCTTACCGCAGGAGCCTGTCTCATTGAGTTCCATGTTGGTCACCGGAATCCATAACCTCCTGGACAGGATCCCGCAGCTGTTGTACGCAGCAAGATATTGCCTCTAAATGCTTCATAAAAACAGATTTGTTCTTCTGAAGTATACTTCTGTTCAGGAACTTTCTTTGATAAACAAGCAAAATAAGAACAAGTTTGTTTGTTTTGGATAGTATTATTTCTGAAGTTTTTATATTTTTATGAAATATTTTAAAGTATTTTGTACTAATAAACCTAAAATATAATCAATGATTACTTTTAATTATATGGAGTTAGTTATAATCACTCTGTGGCCCACATTTTCTCCTCTTGAATTATAAGTAAATTTAGTTATTGCTTAAAACATCTATACTTCTATCTCTAATTAGGACTGTTGCTTATTCAAAATAAGTTGCAGCTCCTTTCAGTTTTCAGTATGCATGCATACATCATTTTGATGGTTGTGATTCAACATCTGGCAGAATTATGTTCAAAAATAATTTTGACAGGTAGGAAATTTTAAGGCAAATGATTTTGTCTTTCAGTTTCAGTTCTGTAACTTTTGCGCATGAGGCATACTAAGGTATGATATATTTGAAGTACAATAATTCCATATTATCCTGTCATTGCCTCTTGAAGTAGTCTGATGCTAGATAACTATGATTTTGTTTGGTTTGCTTTGTTCTAGCATACACCTGAAGAGTAGGTCTTTGTAGAATTACAGCATAAAGGAGCTCTGAGAAATACCATCCCTATCATGACTCACTAATTCCTGTATCTCGTTTTTATTTTTCTGCAGAGGCTTCCACTTTATGCCTTTTCAAATAAATAAAAGATCAGACAAGCCTAAAATAACAATTTTATTCTATAATGTCACCTGGTATCTATTTCAGGGAATAAATAAATAGTTTAGATGTGATGTATCCTCCTAGGCAGTTTCCAAAAATAAGTGTAACTATTCTTAGAACACTGATACAATTACATAAATTATGAGTTTAAAAGTGTTTCAAAGAGTACCAGGAGGTCAAAATAAAGAACACATTTTCAAGAGGTTTATACTCTCACTTAGCCCAGTGGAGACCTATGAAGCAGTGACAGTGCAGATGCTCTCTGTATGATTACAGTACTAACAAAGCTTCCTCTGAGTCAAGGTCCTCCAAATCCACACTGGAAGAGGTCTAGTACAGTGGCAGAAGCAGTCATATAAAAAGCTTATAAAATTCTTTTCTGCATCTCAGGTTTTTTTTTCCTGAGTCTGTGCTGTGTTTCTTTGGTTAATTGTTGAGCTTGTGTGTCCCTCCATGTGGCCCTTAGATTGTGGTACTGTGATCCCTAAAAGGTAGGTTGGAATCACTGTATTGTGGAAGAAAGACTTTGCTGTCAAGCCAGAAACTTTTCCTGTTTTTTCCTTAGGAAACAGTTTCAAGTAGATCCTCTGTGAAGTTGCTAGATTGTTCACTTTGTAATCAGAAAAACATACTAATTGGAAGCAGGACAAATGGAGAAGTTTGTGGTAATATGATGATTTACTTGATATTATGGTAGGGGAATATAGTAATATTATTTTTAAAATGCCACAGTCAGGGTGAAAGACACTCTGGTAGTCTTCAATCACTGACCCAGTCAAAGAAGAAAAAGACATGTAATTTCCCTGAATTAAATATAATTTACTCCATATTCTAGTTGGGTATCTGGTTTAAGCAGCTGGTTTAAGCCTTTTGCAGCAGTCCTTAAATTGTGTTTTTATTCTTCAAAGTGCCTTAGTTATCTCTAGCAAGCTAGACCTAAATTTGCAGAGTAGCTCTTTAAGTCAAATCTCAGAATCATTTCCAGGAAGATTAAAAAAATAGATATAGTTATAGACAGAAAAGAGAAGGCCTAGTGTCATCAGTTTGGTGTTCATATGGTGGTTGCTTTGATTTCCATCTGTCTTCAAAGCCAGGGCAAACTTCTGCAGCAGCACAGTAGCTGTGAATCCATATTTATCTTGACTTCTTTTCCTCCAGTCTCTGTCTGCATGGTTTGTGATGTAGATGCCATCATGGGAGCTGATATAAGCAGTTTGTCAGTAGGGATAAGGCAAACCCACCAAGGTTTCCTTGATTTATGTATGCTTTTTAAATTTAAATAAAGGCTTGCATAGTCTGCTTTTCCATCTATTCCCTCCAGTTTCATACAGGAGCAATTTGTTTATAATTTTTAATATTTTTTGAGGGTTATATATGATTATCCAGCAGAAGTCTTAAATCACTTTTTGTATTACAGGTACCTTGAAATGGTTTTTAATTTACTTTGACTTATTTTCCTGTTGGAATTGTGCATCCTATATTTTTTTTAAACCTTTTATTTGGTAATTATTTGGTAATTTATTTGGTCTTCATTTCTAAATTTATAATATTAAAGGAATGAATACATTTATTCTAATTTTGATGAGAGTTGGTATTTAGAGCATATATACATTAAATTGCTTCTTTGAAGTTGCTTTTCATTGGTTCACTCTGGAAAAAAAAAACTTAATAGTAAGTTTATCACAATTAAATCAGTGTGCAGTTCCCTGCCCCCTGTCTTTTTGCAGTTCCAATAAGTAGAATTGTTTTACATTATTGATATTGTTGTATTCTATGTGTTACTTTAAATTTCCTGTAGAAATGTCAGCTGGTTATTAATACAGGCATGACTGTAGAGTTTTGGATTGCTTTCTTGTTGGGGGGGATATGTTTTATGGTTGGGTTGTGGCTTTTTTGTTTATTTCTTTTGGTGTTTGGTTGGTTGATAGGTTTTCTGTGGGTTTGTTTTTTTTTTATTTTTTTTTCACAGAAGTCCCCAGAAAAGCTAATGGCAGATGGCAGTAGAACTATGTAACCAAAATTATATGGTGGGTTTTATTTTTCAGTTGGGCTGTGGGGCTAGCTCTTGATCATACCACCATCTTTCATATTCTTTTAGAACTTAAATACTTCACAGATGTAGGGCTCTGATAGCCATAGTTCCCAGTCTAGAAAGGAACCATGAGCTTTCCCATTGCA